GCGCCCTAAATACACGAAGTAAGGATTGGATGAGCTGCTGATTGTTCCCGGAGTCCAGTTTTAGCGTTAAGGTTTTTGGCGTTTCAGACTTGTCGGATTGCGAGAACGAAGGTAATGAGTTGGCCGTGTTTGGATAATCGAGACTTCTGGGTTAGGGTTTATTGAGTATTGGTTGAGGCCAAAGAAAAATCATTACAGAACAACTACTGTGAAATATTCAGCAACGAATATGAACGAGAATGGAATATTCAAGCGAGAATAAAGTAACTGAAACATAAGTTTCTATTAATCTCGAATGGTGTGCTCTGATTGGCTGAATTCCTAATATATATATATATATATATATATATATATATGAAATGAAATTCAATTCACGTCGGCAAAAAAAAATTCTTTGAATCCCTCTAAACTTCCATAACTGGAATTTGATTGAGATTCTCCGCTTAGTTCACTGGAATTCCTATTTGTTCTTGGTGGATTCCTATTTGAAACTCTATAATTTCTCCGTGTCGGTTCCATGCGGATATCTACAGGAGTTATTTGATGAATTATTTCACTATTCAATAGAATTGTTTTTCATTCAATGGATTTTTAGTTTCTCACCTAATAAAGGGTGGAATTACTATAGCTTGCCGCAACTGGTTAACAGCAACCAATATTTGGTAAAATGATGGTTGGCTTTTGCCGATCAACACAACACTGCGCCCACGGGTTTTTCACTGGTCACTCCTAATTGTCGTGTCCAAAAGGAGAAGCATACTATTCATCGACTCCCTCCATCTCCCACCTCCTAAGCAACTATTAAGTAGAGTTTGCGGATTAATGGAAACCGTTCCTATGTTAACTACGGAGATGAATCGAAAATTAGACTGGCAAAAATGAACATTGTACACACCAACGGATTACCCGACTCAGATTTCTTCTACGTCGGCTGACAACTGCGGGGTCCATATTTGCACTTGGGCGTACATAATCTGTACAGGTTCATACATACAATTCCAGGCGACACAAATGAATAATGTACGTAAAGCAATCGCTAGAATGCTTTATGAGAGTAACGTTGAGAGAGATTTGCGAAGAAGCTCTGGGCTCAGCCCAGTATTAATTAGAACCTCCTCCAGAATTGTTCACAAAATTCAAAACTCAATCAATCCTCCAGAGAATTACCCCAATACAATCAAATACTGCGCTTCACTTAGATCACTTATTATTGGAACTCTCCCCGAATTTGAGAATGAATTCCCAAGTATCGAGGAGGATAGCATGGGAGAATTGAGTGATTACGAAGTTGGAACAAACGATGAAGCAGCAGAGAACATCGGCCGAGAAAATTATCGAAATACAGTGGGATCGATCAATATTTTCGAGAAAACGAATGTATATTCGGATGGCTTCCCTGGGCAAGAGAGAAAGTTATATGGTATCGACTTGACTGCAAAGTATCTTGCAACATTGCGAGATAATTAAATGATAGATGATTCTATCATTAACACCTTCTTTTTATTACTCAATGAACACGCTGAAGAATCAAGAGGGTTCTGTGTACTTGCGTTTCCGTCATTTATGGTGACTTCACTGATGGACAGCGAAGCTGCCATGAATTTCAGGGGTTAGGCTGAAGCTTGTGATCTGTGGCATCACCAGGTTTGGATGTTATCTGTAAATATGTGTTCGCTCATTGGACTCTATAGGTCGTTATCCCTTCCTTCGAAATTATGATATTTATCAACTCATCTTCGAGTGGAATTCCTGAGAGACTCATACCTGGTGTTATTTCTTTTATAAGATCTGTGCCAAACACTTCAGACAGAAAGTGTAAAGAGACAAAATTGAATGTGAAAAGATGGAGAATTTATGAACCACCAGACATCCCTTCCCAGCACACGATGCCTCTTGCGAGTTGCAATAATTGTGGAGTGCACATAATCTCCTGGGCATATGTTCTGTGCACCGGTATGACCTATTGAGATCGACATGAACTGCGCGAGGAGAGGGATCGTAAGGATTCTCTACGAGAGTAGTACAACCGAAAAGCAAGCGAATCATGTTACATCACTAACAAAGATCCTGATGGATGAATCCAAAACACATATAGTACCTGAGAACATGAACTTGAAAATCTTAAAAACCCCACCCTTGAACGTCTGTAATACTCTCGTATTTTTTGTATCTTTATTCTACGAGTTGCGCAGCACGGATATGAATTAGTTTGTAAAATTACTCGTTAAAATGATTGTATAAATAAAACTGATGTACCGCAATTGTCGCCACGCTTCACTTAGTTAAATCACGGTTTTCGGGCCCAGTGACAGAAAAAAAAATTATATTTCTTAGTTTTGAGGCTTTCGCGGCCATTATTAATGACTTGGTTGGCTTCCGGATGGATGCCGCGTTGAGTTTCAGCATTGCGCCGACGTTTCGCAAACATTGCAGTCTGCATCTTCAGGGCTATGAGCTCCGATTCTGAGCTCCGATGTGTGGGGGCAGTCCTTATATACCTTCCCTTGTGGTGGTGGGGGAAGGGGAAGGGGGGGGGGAAGTCAGCCAATCATATGTTTTTAATTGATCAGCTGGTCAATATTTATATTTCACACCGTGATAACAGTATTTTCTGACTCACGTGATTATAATCCTTGCCTTCAACTCGGATCATAAACCACATTCGTCAGAAAATACTTCCATCGTCTTTTGATATAATGTACAATTTCCACCCTAATTCCCTCTATACTGCAAGGAAAGAAAGGTTAGTATGCTACGAGTCACTCTATTCTTTAGGCAGAAATAGATAGGATAAAAGAGAGATAATCCGCAGCTTCATATACCACGATGACGGGGGGTAGTTAGGAACATCTCCACCAAAGGACAACCCCCAAAACATTTTCTTTTACTCAGGAAAACGATCTTCCGCAGGCAAGTTGGTGAATTTCGAGCGTAATTTGGGGGTTATTTGTCAAAATCCACTTTAAACCTTAAAATCATCGGGTTTAATGGGGGTCGAGGAAATTTCCTGAAATGTTTTTCAGTGGGAATTGTCCAGTGTTTCTGAATATTTAAATTGTAATCCTTTTCTTGGTTTAAAGAAGGTCAGTAGTGAATTTTTCACTCCATAAATGGACTCAAGTACCAATCCGAAGCAGTCAGTGATTTTTTGAAGGGTCAGGGAAGTCCCCTCGAATATTCCCCAATGTTTGGTATTTTTGAATATATCACCCCCCCAATACTCTCAAGGACGAACCCGAGGGGGTGAGTGATTTTTCTGGGGATTGGGGAAGTTCCTTTAAACATTCCGCAATGAAAATTATTTGGTGTTTTTGACTATTTTGAGTGGAAATACATTTTATATGATACGTGCGTGTAACCGCATGGGTTTCAGTTGACTATAGTCAACTGAAACCCGAAATAACGCATGACGCGCATGCGCATCACCTATTAAAAGAGAATAACAAGGAAGGAAATCTAACCTCCGAATAGTGAATACATGGAATGACTGAAAAATGAAAAGGTGATTTTCGAAGCAGATAAAATGAGCCAAAATCGTATAATTCCTGATAGTGATGAACCGGTAACCGCCTGCTTTCCGCACTAGTTGCGTAATGTACTATTTCTCTGCTAAAAACGCGAAAATGTGAACATTCACCCTCTTGATACCGCCAACTACGAGCCCGAGGGGGTTGGTGACTTTCCTGGGGGTTGGGGAAGTTCCTTTAAACATTCCATAATGCAAATTATTTGGTGTTTTTGACTATTTTGAGTGGAAATATATTTTTTTTCTACAAAAAACGCGAAAAAGTGAACATTCACCATCTTAATACCCCCAAGTACGAACCCGAGGGGGTAGCTGATTTTTCAGGGGGTTCGGGAAATCTTCCAAAATATTCCTCAATGGAAATTGTTTGGTGTTTCCAGTACTTCAGGTGCAAATATTTTTTTTCTATTTCATTGGTTTTATCGAAGTAATTCTCGATTTGAAACCCCTCCTCTAGCCTGCCTCCCCTCCTTTCTTTTTCCTCTCATTGTTATCTGCGGTATCATGGCCGTCTTACTTTTTAGCTGTGCCCCATTCGAGCTAGGACTGCACGGGAAACCATGTAAAACCCCAGTCGCACAACCGGTCGATTGTGCAGTGCCCTAATATATCCATCTGTCACACTGACTAGATGGAGACACTAGGCCGCTACACCGTACGTACCGCCTGCAATTTTTGTGCGAGCGAGGTGTTCCTAAGCGGTCACCCATGCAAGTACTAACCCAGCTCAACGCTGCTTAGCTTGGATGTCCGCCGGAGCAACATCTCACCCACCTAACCATTACAGTCGGTCTCAGGTGCGAATATTTTTTTTTTTTCCTATTCGAACAATTTAGAAAATCAAGGTATCCACCCCTTCAACACACTATGCACCAATCTGAGGGGGGGTGGATGATTTTTAGGAAGATTGGGGGGGGGGGTGCTCTTGGCCAGTTTGGAATGAAAAAATTTGGAATTTAGAAACAAATTTTAATTCTAATTCGAAAGGTTCGGCTGCTAGGTTCAGCGTCATCAATTTCCCACTTATTTTCATATTTTTTAATCAGGTTTTTTAGAAGTTATACTAAAAAATCGAATTTCAGCGGCGCAGTGCCGTGGATGCGAATAGCGAACGGTTAATTTCATGAATATCTCCAAAACTATGAACTTTATCCAAAAATTTCACAATGGCATTATTTGGAACCTTTAAAATTCCCTATTGGAAAAGGTTGTATAAGATTTTCTCTTAAACCTTGTTCTTCCCGAGATATTTACGGAATTATCTACAATTTATGCCACTCTGCACCTACTTCTCCTGTCCATTAATTTATTTTTCCTGAAACGATTTCGTAACTTCCTGTTCTAGTTCTATTTCTACAAATACTAGGAAGTAATTCGGGGGATTCGAATAGGCTTGGCCACCAGCCACTATCCATTAACGATCATTAGACCTTTTTATTCCTTTCTTCTGTCATAACTTCTTTCTCTGTTACAGAGAATTGGCTATGAACGCTAAGCTCATAGTCCAGATGGATGGAAAGAAGACACGGATATTCAGCAGCAAGGTGAGTCCGGACAACTCTAGAATGTTTTTATATCATCATTTCCAGCTATAGAGAGTAACAGCTAATCGAGTGAGAGTAACAGCTTCTCTGGCTAACGGTACTCATATCTCAAGGAAGTTGACGCTTCCTTTGTTCGTTGACTTGAAAGGATTCAAATGAGAGACAAAAGTTTAATTACTTTAGAAATTACTGCCGATTAGGGATAGGCGATGTTTGTTGATTAATCGACAACATTGATTTTTCATACCCAAACATCGATGTTTTTCATTCGATGTTTTCAACGGCCGATTAATCGATTTTCTATTAGGGATGAGCGGTGGTTGTCGATTAATCGAAAACATCGATTTTTCATACCCAAACATCGATGCTTTTCATTCGATGTTTTGAACGGCCGATTAATCGATTTTCAATTATTGCTTCCAAATATCGATGTTTCTGACCAAGCTAACAAAATTTTTCATTTTTTTGTCGCAGAATAATGTTGATTGATTGAGAATAAACAAAATAATAATTTATCCGCAACCAGAAGTAATTATTTCCTACAGTATGTATGTTATAAATGATAAGTGGATAAGTCCAGTCATCTATTGTTCTTTAAATTAACAAAAATTTCTATTTCTTTTCAATTAAAAATTTTAACAATTATTGCAGCTAACGGAAAATATTCAATATGTTTTCTTCAATTAATCAAAAACCCTGTTTCGAGATTCAAAATTTAATTCTCTAGCAGTACTTATCATTGAGACGCAAGTTCCTCGGGTTGTATTTTTTGAATATATATTTTTCAATAAAAACGAGAAAAAAAAATTATTTAAAAAAATTCGTTTTTTCTCCTGTGTACTAGAAAAAACATCGATTTTTTAAATAATCGATGTTTTTTCCTGGAAAATCGATTCACAACATCGATGTTTTTGAAAAATATGAATTCTTTGATAATGGATGTTTTTTAAAACATGGCCTATCCCCATTTTCTATTCTTTTTTCCAAACATCGATGTTTCTGACCAAGCTAACAAAAATTTTTCATTTTTTTGTCGAATGATTATGTTGATTGATTGAGAGTAAACAAAATAATAATTTATCCGCAATCAGAAGTCATTATTTTCTACAGTATGTATGTTATAATTAAAAATGATAAGTGAACCAGTCAAGTCGTCTATTGATTTTTTAAATAATCGATGTTTTTCTCGAAAAATCGATTCTTCGATAATCGATGTTTTTTAAAACATCGGCCATCTCCACTGCGGATACTATTAATTAGTAAAATTATAGTAGTAGTAGTAGTATGTATATATTGCATATATACGAATTACTAAATTCCAGAAGCAAGGGGGACTGGGAATAACATAATATGGATAGTAGAATTATAAATTCAGTAGCGAAGTTTTCAAGAGTAACAAAGTGAAAGAAATATGATTGGCTGAAGTCTTCTTTGCAGCATTCAGATTTTCTTATAAACTCCCCTTAGATACAGAGAGATTCTGCAAAAACTCAATAAGCAGTTAAATCGACTTATTGGCATTTACAACTTTACGAATTAATTGACTTTCATGTCTGGTTGAATATGGAATGCTTTGGATAACGGACATTTCTTTAGTTCCAAACATGCTTTTTCGTGTCACGGGACCTGAAAAACCCCATTTTCGTGGCGCATTTTCTCGACACGAAAATTAATTTTCATCACGCTGTGACGAAAAGTGAACTTTTCGGCACGCTCCGCGTGCCTAAAAGTCCAATTTCCGCCACATTGTGATGGAAAATATTGTTCGTAACTCGTGAAAAAATGTTTTTTAGCTCGTGGGATTATAACCTCCCACTCGCCAAAAAACACTTTTTTGCACTCGTTACGAAATATACTAACACACCTCGCCATGGAAAACATATCACCCTTCCCCACGTGCTTGCCATCCTCGCCTTCGGCTCGGAAGGCAATCTTGCACGTGGGGGACGGTGATCTGTTTTCCAAGACTCGGGCATGGAATGTACTATTTTGACACTGCTGCTACGTTCACCTCGTGTCGAAAAGTGCCTTTTCGTTTACTCGTAAACGAAAAGTAAATGAATAGCAAATTGTGTGTTCTGATTTCATCAAGGGATGAAAACACGACATTCTAACCCGCGTGCGGATTACTGCCCGAAACGAAGCCGTGGGCGGTAAACACGCTATTTTCCTTCCTAGGTATACATACTATTTTTTGTCATAACTGTACGTTATAGTTCGATTTTTCTTCGTAAATGCTGGGAGGAACATGGGTTATGTCATTCCGAGGATCGTCAGAAACAACAGAAATCTGAGGAATGAAATAGACTACTTTCCTCCCATCATTTGGCGACAAACTTTCCGTGCAGATATAACGAAAGAAGTCCGTTCGTTTACTTGTAAACAAAAAAGGCACAGTTGGGCCACTCGCTGAACATCACTAACAAACTATAACATCACATCAAAAAATATTGTTCGACACATGTGAGGCGGGAATTTTCAGCTCGTGTGATTAGCAGCCCTCGGCTTTGCCTTAGGCCGACAACTTCACACTCGTGAAAATTCTGTCTCACTCGTATCCGAAATTACTATTTCAATTTTCGCTAAATCTGCGCGTTCTTGAGATAATTGCATCAACAATGAGTGATTATGAAGATTTCATCGGCTGTTTTGCCCACGTACACAATTGGAGATGTACACACACGAGCTGCACACAATAAATTGCATACATCCTCGCGCACATGATTTGAAGTAGCGGAGACCGGGGCAAAGCGGGGTAGCTAAGACAAAGAGGCGGGTGTTAGAGCTTCTATCATAGAATAGAATATTTATTTCCTTGATGCTACTGTTACAGTTTTACATCTACACAAGCCAGTCAACAAATATCTCCATAACTCTCCAATAAATTGTTTTATCAATAATGTCTTTAGGGTGTAACAAAAGATGATAATATCACAGTATCACAATTTGAGCACTTTCGTAATTTCTAGTTCCTTAAAATTTCTTTTCGCTGTAGTCTCTCAGCACTCTTTCTATCTTAGCTAGTCCTACACACAACGGTACATTTACTTCTCCCGCTAGGGCATTTATTAACTTCTTCTTCCAGCTTCTTTGATTTGCCTTTCCTCTCCAGCCTGTCCACCAGTCTCTATCTGTTGCTTTCAGTCTTCTCATCACCAGCTCGCAGCTTATTGCGTGCTCTGTAGATTCTACAGAGTCATTGCATGCCCGGCATTTGGTATCCATATAGTTGCCTTTACCCTCTCTCACCGCATTGCCACATCTCCATCTAGCCCAAGTCTCTTTCTGCCAAGCCTTCAGTCCTTTCCTGTGCCAGTACTTCTCTATTTCTTTTCCAGTTTTGATGTTCGAGAAATAGCTGCAGTAGTTCGATCTATCTGCCTTCTCCCAGTCAGTCTGTATCTCTTGATCCGTTGCTGTTTTCTCCAGCTCTCTAAGCTTTTGCTCGACTTCCCCCAGCTCTCTTCCCTCACTCAGCATTTCTAGTAGTTCACCATCTCCCACTCGATCTAGTGCTCCTTTCAAACTTTTTCCCCATCTAGTCGGGTCGCCGTTTCTTATATTCCTTATTTCTTCCTTTAAGCATTTTCTTGTCCATCTATTCTCTCCCATGAGGCATACCTTCATCAGGAGAGCAGCCCAGCCCTTCTCCTCGCTTCTATCTCGATACTTCTTTTATTTGCTTCCAATCGCCAAATATATCCTGGTGGATTTTTTGCCAGGCCCATACAGGATTTCATATACTTACTCTGTACTCTTTCAATTCTTTCTCTTCTTTCCCAGCCCCATATCTCTACTCCGTACATAGCCGCCGCCTTCACCGTTGAGTCCATGAAGTAGATCCGTCTCTTCAGGTTCGTTACTCCTGCCCTTCTTGTTTCTCCCCATACTTTATTAATTAGTTGCTGTTTTCCCAGCCGCTTTTTCTGTGTGTTTGTTATATCGGTTCCCTGAAGTGAACCAAAATCCAAGATATTTAAACTCTTTGACGACTTCAATTTCTGTATTTTTATACAGCCAGTTTTCTCCTTTCCTCTTGCCACCATTTCTGAAAACCATAATTTTTGTCTTTTCTACGCTTACCTCCATGAAATTTGAGTCTGACCATTTTTCGAGGTTGTTCAGCATCTTTTGCAGTTCTTCTCCGCTCTCCCCGATCAGGGCCGCATCATCTGCATAAAAAAGTGCAAAGATCTTCGTATTCGAGCCTGGTCCTAATCCTGTACCTCCGTCTCCTCTTCTTCGTAATTCCGGTTCCAAATCATTCAGATATATGTTGAAAAGGATGGGGCTGAGTGGGCAGCCCTGTCTTACTCCCTTGGTTGTTAAGAAAGCCTCTGTCTTATCCTCTCCGATTAGTACTGCCGTTATAAATTTCCTTTGTCATTTCCAGGAATCTTCCATCTATCCCCATTAATGCCATCTTCTTCCAAAGCCTCTCCCTGTTCACCTTATCAAAAGCAGCTTTGAAGTCGATAAACGCTACGTAAAGTTTGCCCCTTTTCTGCTTCAGCTTGTTTCCCACTAGTGTGTTCAGTACGAACACCTGATCCATTGTTCCTCTTGCTCGTCTAAAGCCTGCCTGCGCCTCCGTTAGTTTTTCTTCTTGTTCTAGCCAGATACTTAGTCTTCTCCCCATAATTACAGCTAAGATTTTACAGCCGAAGGAGATTCCTCGGTAGTTACTTGCTAGTTTCTCGTCTCCCTTCATTTTGTAGATTGGAAATATTGTCGCCATCTTCCAGCGGTCTATCAATCTTCTTTCTTGCCAGATGTCTTTAATTATTTGAATCAGCTCCAGTCTTCCGTCATTGGGCATGCCTATCAAAAATTCTGCCGCTATTCATCCTCACCTGCTGCCTTCCCCTTCCTCAGGTTCCTTAGCACTGCTACTATTTCACTCTGGGTTAATGGTCCATTTAGCCTTCTTCCTTCTTCTTCTTCTGTATTTTCTTCTTCTTCTCCCATATTTGGGTTATTTGGGTTCTCTGTCTCCCTCCTGTCTGCCTTATCCCCTACCTCTTGCTCCAAATCTCGTGATTCATTTAGTGGGTCTATATCTTGTTCGTTTACATGTCTACCTGCTCCGACTTCTCCCTCTAATAGTACTCTAAAGTGTTGCAGCCAATCTTCCTTCATGATCTTACTAGAGAGGATTGCTCTTCTTTTCTTTCTATACCAATTCATTGCTTTCCACCATTCTGTGAGGTTTTTGCTCGCTTCTACTTCTATCTGCCGCTATTCCATCCATATTTCCATAGTCTTGTTTGTTTTGCCAGTTCCGATCTTTTCTGAATTTGTGTAGGTATTTGAATAATTTCCTCCGCATACTCTTGCACTCACCATTCATATCCCATGTTGCTTCTCGGTGTCCAGGTGATTTCCCTCCTGTTGTCATTCCAACTTTCCTTGCCGCTTCCTCGATTGTTTCAACGATATGTGCCCATTTCTCTTCTGCTGTGTGCTCGTCAGGGTTGTTTTTCTTGGCCACAAGGTTTCCCATTCCTTATGAAATTCTTCTGCCTTTTTTGCTTTCCATTTGAGTCTTTTCTTATTGTTGTGCTCTTTCCGTTTTTTCCGTTCGTTCTATGATCCCCCATTTCACTCTGTAAAAGATTGGCAGGTGGTCCGAGCCTTCCTGGGATGCCACTCTCATGCCTTTGAACCATTCTGGGTCCAAGCCTTGCTCCTCTGTCTTGACTATGACGTAGTCCAGCACACTTCCAAGTCCTTCTCCTTCCGCTATCGCTGTCACCTTGCCTTCTTCATCTCCTTCTGATCTACCATTCATTATAAGCAGTGCTCTTGATTCGCACCATCTGAGTAGTTGTGGTCCGTCAGGATCCCGTAGTTTCTCATCTTCTGATTTCCTAGTGTGGTACGTTCGTTCAGGCTCGTCTAGTCCGCAAACAGCGACTCCTTGTTCCAGCCCAATTCTAGCGTTGAGGTCTCCAGCTATTATTAGCTTTGCTGCCATGCCTTCCATCTCATCTAGCTCTTCATCTATCTTCCTCAAAAACTTCTTCAGATTCTGGTGGTGGTTGTTGTATCCCGTAATGATTATGTATTTGTCGTCCGTTATAATCCTGTTCTCAATCCGGAGTTGTAACCCGTGCTCCCACTCTGTCAGTTGCCAGGTTCCTCCTAAATTTTTCTTTATCCCCAAGATGTGCCCTCCAACAGCTCTACCTTTGGTGTGAGTTCTGGTAGCTATTTTACCACGCCATTCGAAATTTTTGTTCAAGCTGTCCATAGCCTTCTTCATCTCTTTCTCTTCTAGAAAAGTTTCCTGGAAAGGTACTATATCTGCGTCTTGCCATAGCCTCTCATTCTTTCTTATATTTTTCAAGCCTCTTGTGTTCCAGTGCAGTATCACCAATTCATTGGTTTCGCAGTCGTCCTCTTCCTCTTCCTCGAAAGGGATGGTGGGTCGGATGTTGCTCTTCAGGTTCAGCTCTTGTCTCCTTCTCTTCTCTTCCTTGCCTTAGTGTTCCTTCTATCTCATCCCATACAAGCCAAGTGTCCTCCACCAGGAGTTTATGGTATCCTGTCTTTGTTTGGCGCTTGAGTAGTCCCCAATTGTCTGCTTCTTGTTCAATCCAAGCCTGGACCTCCTTTTGTCTGTCGGTGAAGTCATCCGTGATCCAAACCCCCCAGCCGAGATTCCCCAGTTTCTGCTTCTTCATGATTTCTTCCTTTGACTTCCACTCCTCTAGTTCTACTTTCCATGCCATTTGATTGATTCTGTCTAGTTTCATTACTCTAGGGTTTTCCTTGAGCTCGAGAGTAGTTTCTAGTCATTGTTCTAGTTCCTCTTTTTTCCTTTTTTCGATGAGCGTTAATCCTTGGATTATCAATTTCTTCTTCCTCTCTCTTCTTGCCAGCTTTTCCGTCGCCCACTCCTCCTCCCTCAGTTTTTTAGGTGGCAGGTTGAGTGGTATCTGTCTCTCTGTATCCTGACCGTCCCCGCCCGCTCCCCCGGCCCCCAACCCTCCTGTCACCGAAGCGCCATGTGCTAGGGTCGCCGGGTGAGCTGGCCGGGACGTCTCTGGATCACCCTCTCTCCCTCTCTCTTTCTTATTATTTTCTGTTCTAACTGGCGTATTATACAAAGTCTCGCTTCCACTCACCTCGGGTGTAGTAGTATTTATAGTCCGTGGCTCCTTTGTAATGTCCCGGTTTCCAGAGCTGTGTCTGACCATTTCCCAAAGTTTTTTGTATTTTCCTTCCCAATGCTCGACTACTGTCATCAAGTCTTCTATCATATCTTGTTTGCTGTTCAGCTGCTTACGAAGGTTACCATTTTCCCGTTCCATGCTGCGAAGTTGTCTCCCCAGTGCCTTTTCCTCTGCCTCTTCTTCGATCAGTGCCCTTCTTATGTTTTCACAGTTGTTGCAGACATTTCCATCCCTAGTATCGCCTCTCTTATGCCTCTCCTCTTTCAACATCTTTTCTAGATCAGCCATTTTCTCTCCCCACTCTTCAGTATGTGTTTTGGTAATACGAGTCTCCCAAGATTCTAGAATCATATTTACCTCTCGAGCCACATCCTGAGTTATCCTCTGTGCTAAAACTTCGAGCTCTCGCGTCTTAGTACTCCCACCCCCGTCCTCAAGGCCCCCGTCCTTATCGCCATCCGACTGCGGTGTCTTTCGGGGTGTTTCAGCCTGTAGGGTATTTGGGGTTGAGGGGAGTGAGATTAGATTCTCTTCTTTTTCGTTTTCTTTTTCCTCTGAAGGCTTTATCGGTGTTGGGGTGTTGGTATCCTCTGATGTGCCTGGCCCGTTCAGTTTTGAGCTCAGTGGTGATTTATTTGCTGAAACTGAATGTTGTTTCGTCTTGGGAGTTCTCTGCCCTGTCACTCCCTTGCTCCTCTGCCATCCCTTCCCTATCTGTGAGGTACGGTGTGGTTTCCTCACCAGTTTCTTTTTCTGCCTCTGTACCTTCCCTCTATGATTCAAGGGGGGTCTGTGGTGTTCCTGAGGTTTTCGAGTCCATCTTTGGTCCCCAGAATGACTCCAAATTCCTTACATAGTCTTTATTCAATGCTTTTTCAGCCTTCAACACGTTTGCACTGGTGGTTCTTATGTTTACAGTGGACGTACTTGATCGGCCATCAGCTTCTATCATATTTACATTGCTTTTTAGCAATCACTATTCACATTCTAAAATTATCAACTCGCGTCTCCAATTTATTACAGTTGGAGGCACAGTGGAGTAGTGTCCAAACACTTTACAATAATTATAAATNGCCCTGAAGATGCAGACTGCAATGTTTGCGAAACGTCGGCGCAATGCTGAAAATCAACGCGGCATCCATCCGGAAGCCAACCACGTCATTAATAATGGCCGCGAAAGCCTCAAAACTAAAATTATAAATGTTGTTTGTTTTTTGACAAGAACATTTTTTTGTTGGAATTCTCATAATTTAGATTAATACGTTTATCAGATAAATACACAATCATCAAGAATGTCAGATGCTCTTACATAACTAAAGAATTAATGCAAAAAGAATAAGGAGAAGAATATAATTTTTTATGGCATTCGAACATCCTTCTGGTTCATAAATTGAATATATGAGTAAATTTTGACATTCGAATGGATGCAGAAAGAATTGTCGATTACCGATTATTAAATGATAGATTCTTCGTTAGAGAGTAATGAAAAAAATGATCAGAACGAAGTATGCGAATTTCAATCAGCAATTGACTCATAACATCATAGAGAAAGTCGTCAAACGGCCGATCCCACTGATTACCGCATCGATGATTGCTTGTTAATGTCTGAAACAACTAATACGTCTCCATTGAATACAATAATCATGAATGAACATATGAATAATTGAATTAATTGTTTCCATTGCTTATTTTCCGTAGAGTCCTGGCGGATGTAGAGACATCGATAAGGAGACGTACAAAGACTTCACATTCGATCATTCCTATTGGTCCTTTGATGCTGATGATGGGAATTATGCATCACAAGATGAAGTGAGTAGGGATCCTCAGAGCTCTAAACTCTTTATCATCGAATCATTTAAGTAATTATGATATTTTTTTAATTCTTATTTTACATCGCTTCGACTCGGTTGAGTATATTGCGATGATGATCAAGACTTAAATGGTTAGATCTCACCATTCTACCCCACCGGGATTTGAACTCGGAACCTTGCGCTCGTGAGGCAACAATCTTACCCAGTGCGCCAGGCCGTCGGGCATTTAAGTAATTATGGATTGACGGACACGATCCCGGCAATTTCTAATTTAGCCTTTTTTCCTCATTTCTGGTAATTACTTTAGCCAGCTTTTTACTGATGCCTTGATATACATATAGGGTGTTGGATCTCGTCCCAAATTAAAAGTCACAGTCAATCATCTTGGTAAGTGGTATTCTGATCAAAAAATGTTTCAGACAAAAGTTTCAGCATTTCTTGGGGCGAATTTGATGACACTAAGATTTTTTGAATAGCAACGAATGCCTTGATGCTGCGTGAATCGTTGTCAAAATCGTCATAGGAATCTCAATTTTTCAGCTCTGCAAAAGTTATAGCTTTTTTGAAGATAAATCCAACGACCATAATTTCATTCAAATTCGATCATTTTTAAAGAATGAAATCGCAGAAAATTCGTCAATTTGCACGGCATCCGATAAACTACTAATTAGACCAGAATGTGAACCTGTCTGTCACATCTCTCTGATTGTGATTGTAAACAATAACAATCAGACAGACATATGGCAGGCTACTTCACATTCTGGTCTAATCAGTAGTTCACCGGCTGCCATTCAAATTGAACAATTTTCTGCCATTTTGTTCTTCAAAAATTACGGAATTCGAACGAAATTATGGTCGTTGGATTTGTCTTTAAAAAAGTTACGCCTTTTGTAGAGGTGAAAAATTCAATTTCCTATAACGATTTCGACAACGATTCACGTAGCATCAAGACGTTCGTTGATATTAGAAAGATGTTAGTTTCAGTAAATTTGCCCCAAAAATTTTTGAAAATTTTGTCTGAAACATTTGTTGATCAGAGTACCTCTTGCCACGATATTTGACTGCGACTTTCAATGTGGTACACTCCATATATCCCTCAACGATGAACTCGTGATGATCGAAAGTAGGAGGTAAGGCGGAGATGAATCTATTGTATTCCTACAGAAAACCAATCTCTGAACAAGAAAAATCTGTCCCCTTCAATAATATATTTAGATCATATTTGAATTCTTATATGGCCAAATAATTTCTTTTATCACTATTCAATTTTTTTTCTACATCGTGCATACATCAAAACATTTTTATATTTAATTTTAATAATAAATGGAAAATAATTAATTTGTGTACAAAAATTGATAACGTGGGCCCGACATAATATTTTGTCACTCAGAGTTGGTAAGCTTGCAACGCTGTACTGAGGGTTCTCACTATGCATAGTCACGCATATAAACACGTTTAAATTTTTTCCATTGCAACTCATTCGTCCGAAAAATTCGTCACCCATATCGTTCTAATTTGTCATCAATAAAAAAAAAAAAATAATAAATTAATCCCAAGGCCTCTCTGTGAAGTAACCTCGAACAGAGATCACTGTAGATCCGCAACTCTCTTGTTTGAACGTTTGAATTCACTGCGTTGATCCCCACCCGATCAGTAGATGCTGTTGTTGCAGTTCACAACTGTGCGCACGAAAATTCTGTTTTTTTGCGTTTTTTTGTCAATTTTGGACAAAAAATGTTCCGAACCGATGTAATTTTTCTTGCAGAAGGTGTATTTATGAATATGTCAAACATACACAAAATTTCGTAACATTGGCTGTATTTTTACGTTCATGATATGGATTTTTCTACATTTGCCATAAGAACGGGGTTAAATTGCGTTTTTTTAAATAATTAATTTCATTCCAACCATTCTCTGCAGTAATCTGAAACTCCACACAGGGCTACGGAATATATTGAAGAAGGTAGTGGAGGGTCGGGCAAAATGACACGTATTGAGATCTTTTCCAATTGCCAATATCTTCATTTATGAGTGAAAATATTGACAATTAGAGGGGATCTCGAAACGTCCCATTTTGCCCGACTCTCCTCTATTTTGAAAAATTCATAAAATTGGCTTAAGGAAAATCCGATAAATCATCCAAAAATTATACATTATTTTTTCTTAAAATATATTGAGATTTGTTTGTTTTTTGTTGTCATAAGTTTTATTAGTTTTATTTGTTCATCCAACTTTCATTTATTCAAAATTTTGTTTTATCTGTTTATTCATTTTGGTAATGAATGAGAAATATTCGACAGAATAAATAGAAATCAACAGAAAAATTTCTGACGCTGAATTGAATGATGCCGACGAGCCATACTGTTCGCAAACTTATTTATAACGGTTTCACAATTCATTTTTGGTAATCCTCGTCAATCATTCCCACCGTGGTTGGAATTCATTGCGCAGAATGATCGCAGAACCCGTGTGGCCGTCTCGAGGGTGTCTGTTTCCGTGCGAAGCAAATGCATAGCATTATAATTACATCACAGAATAAATTAAGAATAAAAAAACGGACAGGGCCCTCTGTAACTTGATTTTCGTACCATTTAAGGTATTCTCATATTTATCATGACCGTTTCAGGTATTCTATGATCTTGGGACAGATGTCATTGAGAGTGCCTTCGCTGGTTACAACGCCTGCGTTTTCGCCTACGGTCAGACCGGCTCTGGCAAAACTTTTACGATGATGGGCTCGCCGGTAATTATTACCACTAAATGAATCATTACCAGTAGCCGAATACTGGATACATCTAGTTCAATTTCAGATTTTTTGACAATTATCTCGAGAATGATCAATTGTAGCAAAAAATTGCAATAAAAATTTTTAATCATGAATTTTATTCTCTGCGTGAAAGATATTTTGAGCTTTTCCTCTAAATTTATTAGCATGTGAAATATTCATAGAAATTAACAATGTGTACTTTTTTCGGACATTGATCGAACTTTTCATTAAATTCTTTTTTCAACTATCTGCTAACTTTCTTGTCCGCGTTCATTAAGCATCAGGAATCTAGTTGTATGGTGCATCAGTTATTAATTATATAGAGTTTCTATCAGCAGACATTGTAAGAGTGATTTCACCAATTATTGATACGGTTTTGTGCCGTCAAAATATCTGAAAACCTTTTTTGCATTCTCTCAAAATTTTATTGCTCATAAAAGTTTTCGAATTTTTGAGTTTTTGTTGAAATGTTGTGGTTCGAAAGAGGTATTGGGCCATTTTCGAGTTTTTCGGAAATTTCCTGTTCTTTAGATTGAGCATGGTTTCAGTTAGCTTACACTATTGACAATGTGTTGAAATCGCATCGAATGAGCGTCGGCTCGTTTCGATCTGGAAATAATATTTTTCTCAACTTTTTTTTCATTCTCTCCTTCTTTATGATTCTTTCCGTGTGTTTTTTCCGAAAGATTTTGGAAGAAGGACGTTTGGAAAGATACAAAAAAAAAAACAAAGGAGCCAACGACCATTAAAATTATTGGATATTCTCCGTTGATTATTATTTCACTTGAAGATGATTTCGATTGATGCCATGCTCAATCGAAAGAACGCGACATTTGAAGAATTTATCAATGTTATCAAAAACTCCGTCTTCAAATTTTCTACAAAAAAAAGGTCTTGTGATGATTTTTTCCTGGGATAATTCTTCATTAACGAGATACGTCGGTGAAATTTAAAAGTTTTTACGGGGCCTTGAAACAGTTTGTGATATATGACGGAATATGGGAATAACTAGGGAAAATCGTGGACCCGATCGATTTTTCCCCGTATAACCACGAAGAACTTCATTTTTTCCTGTTATTACCTTAAAAATGCTCCTTGCGCCGTAGTTGTCATACAATTTTAGATTTTTTTTCAAATGTTTATTATACTGCAAAGACGGAAGTTAAGCATCTGTTTTACTTTATTCGCAATAGATCATGCATAAATGAATTTTTAATTTCATAAATTTTACTCTACTCTAGAAATGCGAAGAATTTATGAAATTCAAAATTCATTTATTCGTGATCTATTGCGAATAAAGGAAAACGGATGCTTAACTTTATTCTGTGGAGCGTATTGAACATTAAAAAAAAGCTAAAATCGTATGAAAACTACGGCGCACGGAGCATTTTGAAGGTAAAAGCAGGAAAAAATGAAGTTTTTCGTGGTTATACGGGGCAAAATCGATCGGGTTCGCTATTTTGCCTAGTTATTCCCATATTCCGTCATATATCACAAACTGTTCAATGGGTCCCAAGGTCCAGTGAAGACTTTTAAATTTCACCAACGTATCCCGTTAAGATAGTTCAGTCATCACTGCTAATATTCAGCAGAATATAATTTCTCTCGTTATTTTATTATCCTCAGCAATGAATGATTTCATGGATAAATATCTGAAGTCCTTTTTTTCCACAAAAAATGTCTCTTGATGTCTCTTATCATCACTCATTACTGAGACAATCCGCTAATTAACGACTGATTCCAACCGGTTTAACGCTTTTCGACTCTATAGAGATTTTTTTTCCTTTTTTTACCCTCGAATTAAAGTTCTAAAAATATCTTCTAATTGCTAGGAAGCCCAAGGCCTAATCCCAAGGATATGCAAGACTTTATTCGCGAGGATGGCAGCAGGGAAGGAGACAGGAGCATCTTACAGAACAGAAGTTTCGTTTCTCGAGATTCATAATGAACGAGTACGAGATCTGTTGAGGCCAGAGCAGAGTCAATCACATTCCCTAAAGGTTCGAGAACATCCGAAGAGGGGGCCTTATGTCCAGGACCTGTCAAATCACTTGGTTTACGATTATACTGACATTCAGGTGAATATTTGACAACGAATGTTTGTGATGATGCAAACGCTATATATTTCGGGTGCTTTTGATGTATGACGAATATATAGACTCGATGAGGAAAAGTTCCTGACAGACTCATTGAATTTAAGCAGGATTTTTAATACGACTTTTACTCGATGATGAGTAAGAAGTTGATAGATTTCAAGATAAATGTATTACTAACATAACAGTTGAATTTGTGAAATAGTTTTTGATCCAATGTGCAGATGTTGAGAAAATGAATGATTGCAGGAATGCATGGTGAGGGGAAATACGCACAGAACAACCGCAAGTACAAATATGAACGACGTGAGCAGTAGGAGTCATGCAATATTTACAATAACATTCGTGCAGGCTGGATTTTCAGAGGGAAACATGCCATCGGAGACTGTTTCTAAAGTGCATTTGGTCGACTTGGCTGGAAGGTAAATTCAGAACAGTAAATTAGGAGTCGAAGATGGAAAAACAATAAATGTTTCGATTTTCAATTTAACTCAAGACCGAGTGATTCAACTTTTAAATTTAGAAATTATTTTAGAAGCGAGCGGTTTTTCGACAAAATATCCAGAGAATTGTTTTTTACAGGTGATGAAATTCTCTGCCAGATTTGTTCTTTGATATTTTTTCCTAAAATCACTCATTACCAAGATTATCCAACAGTTCGATAGTGAAATGATAAACCAGGATGAGTCACCTCAATCACAAAAATAACTTTTTGATAAATATGTTTAAATCTAGGGTAGAGAGTACAATTGTCTTAATAACCTTTCCTCATGTACGAAAAATGTCTCTAAGATGATTAATCAGCAATATTATTTCATTACTCAGTATCCTACTGATGAAACAATGAGTCAGATGAAATCCACGATCTGTTTTGTTGAATGTATGTGAATTCTTGTCTATAGATCTCACTCTTCTGCACAAAAAGTCCTAACAACACGTTGGCTATTTCCCTTGTACCCCCCTCCAATCATTCAACAACTAATCTAACAAGTGAAATTGATTGTTTTCGCAACGCTGAATAATTTCAGTGAACGAGCGAATGCAACAGGAGCCACAGGCCAGCGTCTGAAGGAAGGTGCACACATAAATAAATCCCTTGTAACCCTGGGGTCAGTCATATCTGCCCTGGCAGAAGTCTCTCAATCCTCCACAGACTCAAACAACGCTCGAAAAAACGTCTTCATCCCCTACAGGGACTCAGTCCTGACCTGGCTCTTGAAGGATTCCCTCGGTGGTAACTCGAAGACGATAATGATTGCTGCGATCAGCCCAGCGGACTGCAACTATGGAGAAACTCTGAGCACTCTCCGATATGCCAATAGAGCCAAGAACATCATAAACAAGCCTACTATAAACGAAGACGCAAACGTAAAATTGATCCGTGAATTGCGAGAAGAGATTCTCAAACTAAAATCGATGATGGGTAAGGATATGAGTCTGGAGAAGCCTCCCCAGCAGAAGGTACTGCTGGCGCAGATTCATGAGAAGCAAGAGCAGGAGAAGGTCCTGACGGAAGAGTGGACGGAGAAATGGAGAGAGACCCAGAAGATTTTGCAGGAACAGAAGGCCTTGGGATTACGTAAAAGCGGAGTTGGAGTGGTGCTGGACTCTGAGATGCCTCATCTCGTAGGTATTGATGATGATTTATTGAGCACTGGGGTGACTCTGTATCATCTGAAGGAAGGGAAGACCTTGGTGGGGACAGAAGAAGCGAATTCTGTTCAGGATATCGCCCTGACTGGTCCTGATGTCGAGCCTGAACATTGCATCGTAGAGCTGGTTGCTGGGGTAGCTACTCTGCTGCCACTGTCACCTTATTGCTGGATTAATATGGTTCAGGTGAGGAATCGTATAGTAATTAGCTTTTGGGGAGATTAATCTGTTGGTGAATATGGGTGAAAGTGGGGCAAAATGAAACAGTCAAAAAGGGACTGTTAGACACAACTCAAGCACAACAATTTTTTTTTTGTCAAATATTTTTTTTAGCTTTGGTTTATTAATTTTTTTTTTTATTCTTAAAAGTATTAATGAGAATAATATTTTTCCATTCAGTAGAATGAAAAATTATTGAGAAGTTTTGACGGGAGAAGATTTTGTCAATGAATTGATTGAAAAGAAAATGAATCTGCAAAATCCAAAGTCCAGGGGGATACCCAAAGGGGGAAATGGAAAATGCTGAATTTTAATCGAATGGAAAAAGAAAAGTGTAATCGGCGTAATATAATATAAGACAAATAGAAAATTATTATTCTCATCAGTACTCCCGAAAATAAAAAAAGTTGATAAAAAAAAATTTGCGACAGTTTCATTTTGCCCCACTCTCCCCTAGCATGTTGATCATTGTTAATGCACCTGATAATTTTACGTTGGAAATTGTTTGGATTGTATTGAAATTTATGAGGCATGACATTCTGTACAAAAATTTTAACAGAGGTGATAGGTGGTATCTATACGGTATCTACACCCATATCTTTTACAACTCTTTACAGTGACGGAATTAGCTCATTAACGAATGGTTTCAGGAGGAATCATTAAGATATTTCCTCAGAGCGACGGCGCTAAGAATCTCGCAATGTTTTAGGGATTTAAATTTTGGATGATATATTGTTGAGTGCGTTGAAAAACAATAATTCAAATTAATTCAATCATTTGTTCCACGCTATGTTTAATATATGCATCGTCAAAAATTAAAAAAACACCACAAAAATTGATTTTTTGACAATGCATATCTCAAAAATAGGGTGAACGAAGTACTTAAAATTTTTATGCTGACTTTTTAACATGTCAAATAATATATCTACACTTTAATAACAGATAAGCTTGTCGGTTATTAAGGTGTCGATATGATCCCAATTTTTGATCCTTAGAACATCACAAAATTTTCATCATCTATAAGTGACTGGGAAAGTGTCTTCAGGGAGATTTTTGTAGAGAAGTTCGCAAACTACAGAAAAGGCCTCTGGAGATCTTCTCCTAAGGTCACTCGTTTTCTAAATCAAAATATAACTTATCGGAATAAAATCATACAAAATCAACAATATCATTTGCATTAAAAAATCAAACGCATATTATTGTGAATACCTACAAAACAAATTGTATTACAAAATGCTGAGAGACCTTTCTTCTAGCTGATAACATTCTCTAGAAAAAGGGTGTTCCACTAATTTTCCTCAACTCCTTCTTTTCCAAGAATTGAAAAATTTAAGTTAAGGCCCGGCTCCATTATCTGCCGAACATCATCTAGATTGCTTTTTTGTTCGATTTTTATCTCGAAATTTCAATTCGATGTCCCGTCACTCAGTGATACCTGAAAATTATGAATTTGGATTGGAAAAAAAGTAAAAAATATTCTGAACATTTTGAAAGAGCGTTTAAAATTAATATTGAGGAATGAGTTCAATAGAGGAGATATGAATAATGTATAATTACCATGGCGCATGGTGGGCTGTCAGCCACCACCACGGGGGGAGGAAAGACAAAATAATAAATCCTTTGGTACAACGCAACCAGACGATTATACGAAAAAAGGCTCATTAAAAAATTTTGTAATATTTTTAAGAATTTTTTTTTAACCCACTTTTACGATGGACTACTAATCACTTACTTTTTTAAAAATTTAAATTCAGAATTTTCCGAAAACAATCAATTTAGATAACATTTGACAGGTAATGGAGCCGGGGCTTAAATTAAACTTTAACTTTTATCATCTTCGATTCAGGTGGACAAACCTACGAGATTATCTCAGGGATGCATCATTCTCCTAGGTAGAAATAACATGTTCAGGTACAATGACCCTGTGGAGGCAGCAAAATTGAGAAAAGAAGGAGGATCTGGCAATGGCAACCTACAATCCACTGTTGTCAATCTATCAAGGCTGTCTCTTCTGAGTTGGAGTGTCTCGGATCTTCATGCGTCGACCTCCAGTGATAATTTATTAAACTCGAGTGAGGATTTGAGAGCTCTCGAAGAATTAGAACAGCAGAAGGCAGCTTTGATTAAGGAGAAAGAAGACTTTAAGGTGAGTCGACCTTTGGATTATTTATTCGTTCGATTTTCTTTGAAAATGGTATTGAATTACGTCAACACGAAGACTTATAAATGTTCATTGTCATCACTTTAAATGGAAAGACATGCAGGAAAAACAATCGTTGGGTAATCTTCCTGAAATTCATTCAATATTGACAAAGTTCATTTTTTGCTTCCGAATGGAAGCATTATAATCGTTCTAATTTTAGATTTTCCTATTTTGCTTAAAAACGATGTAGAGTGATCTGAAACGTAAAAATACGAAGTTTGACTTGACCACCTTATGTGTATGTGCGGATGTCCAGCTGGTGGTCAACTTTTAGAAAATTTCAGAATTAAAAGATTGAAATGATTCCAAAAAAATCTGAAATTTTGTCAGATTATAGGTATTTATAAGACCTCACCCTGTGCTAAATTGCAGCCCAATCGATCCAGCCGTTTTTGAGAATTCGCCATTTGTTTAGAAATCGTTTTTCGTAAATATCTCAAAAACTACTCAACCGATTAAAATTTTTTTTTTTCGAAATATTCGTCTCGATGTCTTCTACCTCAAATCAATCAAAATATGCATATCCGTTCATACGTTCATAAAATTTCTGAGATATTTCCATTTTTCGTTTTGTCGTTCACAATACTTATGGGCACTGTAATTTTATATATAAATCTATTTTCTAATTTCTCCTAACTTAGGTTCTCCTCAAACCTTTAGCGAATGCGATGCACGAGGTTGGAACGAGTTTCGATGGGGGCGAGAAAGGCACAAATTGTAAAAGTGTATAGAAATATCCGAGAGTAAACAAAATTTGTTATGCTAAAACCATTCGGAAGCATACCATCAATTTATTGATGGTGAAGAAAACATTAAAACATCACTCAGTGACATACTCACTATCATATGCTCGCAGCCACCTGCTTATTTTCATTTTACTTTTTTACTTTCGTATTTATCCATTACTAAATATCTCCATTCAATATCTTGAATTCCTAGGAAGATGGTGAAATTTTATAGAAATTTTTTTTTGCAGTAAATAACGAATTTAAGAAAAACCAAGCAGGGGTAGCGAGCATATGATAGTGAGCATGTCACTGAGTGATGTGCTGTTTCTTCGCCATCAATAAATGGATGGTATGCTTCCGAATAGTTTCAGCATAATAAATTTTTTTCACTCTCGGATATTTCTCTTGATTTTTACAGTTTATGCCTCCTCTCCCCCCCTTCCAAACTCTTTCTAATGCATTCTGATGCAAAAAGACAACTTTGTGCCAAATTTCAAGTTAATATGTCGATGTTTGCAAAAATGAGAGTGCTAATAAGGATTTTGAGCGGAAAAACGAAAAATGGAAATATCTCGGAAACTTTGTATGAAGGGGTATGCATATTTTGATTGATTGAGATAGAAGATATCAAGACGAATATTTTGAAAAAAAAAAAATTGAAATCGGTCGAGTAGTTTTTGAGATATTTAAGAAAATAGATTTAGATACAAACTTGAATATCTCCTAAACTAAGCATCCGATTTACCTCATTTTCAATACGAAACATTCTGGTGCACAGAGGAAACTTCGCGCCATATTTCAAGTTAATATGTCGATTTTTGGAAAAATAAGAGTGCTAACAAGGATTTTGAGCAAAAAATTGCAGCCGACTATATCTTCGATACAGCTATAATTGTACGTGGATACACGTCCATGGTCTTTCCTTCTTTCTGGAATTTCCTAGAAACTCCTTGAATTCTCTCGAAATTTTTAAAAACTCCTTGAATCTTTTCGAAATTTCAAGAAACTTCTCGAATTACCTCGAAATGTCTAGAATTTTCTAGAGTTCCGATAGATGGCACTGCATATAAGGACCGTTTACCAAATGACCCCCCCATATTGAAACCATAGACGTATCCACGTCAAAAAACTAAAAATGGAAATATCTCTGAAACTTTGTATGAATGGGTATGCATATTTTGATTGACCGAGATAGAAGACATTAAGACGAATATTGAAAAAAAAAAATTGAAATCGGTTGAGTAGTTGTTGAGATATCTGCGAAAAACGATTTAGAAACAAATGGCGATTTCTCAAAAACGGCTGAATCGATTGGGCTGAAATTTAGCAGAGTTAGTTGTCATTAATACCTATAATCTGTCAAAATTTCACATTTTTTGGGATCATTTTAGTCCTTTAATTCTTCAATTGTCTAAAAGTTGATCATCAAGTGGACACTATCACATACACAGAAGGTGGTCAAACTTCGTATTTTTACGTTTCAGACCATTCAACATAATTTCCAAGCAAAATTAAACAATCGAAAAATAGAATGATTTCAATGCTTCCATTCGGAAACAGAAAAGGAATAATGAATCATAAGGAAATCCTCTACAAACAATACGATGTATCTTCTCTGGATTACATGATATTGATGGAAAACTGTTCATTAAAAAGTTCTTCATTTTTTTCGTCGCTCGTATTTTTCTTTACGGGAAACTTTTTGCTATCTCATTTAGATTTCGAGATAAGTCTGGACTGTTTTCAAGTGAAATAGTACATTACGCAACTAGTGCTGCGCCGCCCTCGTGAGTAACCGCCTGCTGTCCGCACGTGTTGCGTATATTTTATATGATAAGTGCGTGATGAAGTCTGGGGGCGGAGGGGGGGTGTGGAGGGCGAAGCCCCCCACGAGAAAAGGGGATCCAGGGGGTGAAGCCCCCCCCCCACTGAAGAAAAAAGATCACATTTATTTTAAAAAATAATTATAAAAAAGTGTGATTTAAAAATTATGCGGAACTTCTGAAGAAAAAATTAATTATATTCGTTAAATATGTAGTTCAAAAAACTTGTAAAGTATTTTTAATTGAAAAAAATTAATTATAATAATTACAAAATACAATTTTTAAAAATCATTAAGAATTCGCAAAATAAAGAAAGTTATAATTATAAAAAAATATGATACAAAACGTAATTGAAAAATCGGAGAATATTTTATTTCCATTTTCTTCAAATGTCACATCACCAATAAACTCCTCCTCATCAGTAAATAAATTTTTGTCATTCCGGCCGTGAGGCAGCGTTTCACGGACGCGGAGCGGAGCGGATGCTCCGCTCCGCTCCGCATCCGTGAATCTCTGCCTACGGCCATCATAACAAAAAATACTGTTCGTCATACGGCCAAAAAAAACTTTTCTAGCTCATATGATTGCAGCCCTCGCCTTCGGCTCGGGCTGCAAACTCATATTCGCCAGAAAAGTTTCTTTCGGCCTAGTGACGAAATATACTATCTCCTCACTGCCTAACTCTTCATCACTATCAGGAATTATACGATTTTGGCTCATTTTATCTGCTTCGAAAATCACCTTTATGCCACTCATGCCTGAAACCGGCTGGATTACACACTCGACGCTTCGCGTCTCGTGTCTAATTCAGCCGGTTTCAGGCTTCGTGACATAAAATTTTGTTCAGTACTTGTGGGGAAATTTCGTCATTAACGTGTGTGGTTACATCACTCGCCTTCGGCTCATGCTGTAAACCCCACACACGTTAAATACGAAATTGCCCCACACGTGCTGAAATATACTATTTCATTTTTCAGTCATTCCATCTATTCACTATTCGGAGGTTAGATTTCCTTCCTTGTTATTCTCTTTTAATAGGTGATGCGCATGCGCGTCATGCGTTATTTCGGGTTTCAGTTGACTATAGTCAACTGAAACCATGCGGTTACACGCACGTATCATATAAATTACTTACGGTATCAGTCATTTCAATTTCACAATCATTTTTTGGAAAATATTTCTGAATCCAAGCGAGACATCGAAATTTTCATTAGGACCTTTTTTGTAGCTCTCGTTTTTCTCTACAAAAGTTATTTTTTTCACCGTCTGGTCTGGTCTGGACTATCCACTTTTTTCAGTAATTTTTTTTTTGTCAATTTATATTGAGAATTATTCTGGTTCCCCTCCTGTCTACTCCAAAAATCCTATCCAACAATATCCTGTGACGTTACAAGATGTGGAACGCTATGTAAACTATCGTCTTATGTGAAATGTGTGAAAAGACAAAACTAATCATTATCTGCGTTTTTTATCCATTTCAGAAAGAACAAGAAGAAAGGGAAGAAAGATGGGCAGCGAGGCGTGAAGCTTTGGAGGGTGCCCAGAGAGAATTAGAGAGAGAATGGGGTGCACAATGGAAAGAATGGGCAGATGCAATAGCTGCACTAGAGGCAAAACAACGTGAATTACGTACAAGACGACGTGTACTCGAGCAAGAGAGGAGGGACGAGATGACACAAGTAAGTGGATTGGATTCGGCAGATCCGGGTGTAGATGTAATATCGATCAATTGCCAGTTTTACCTTGCCCTCATCGCACTCGGTATTATTATCTGTTTGTCTGGCAATATCATCATTTATTCACACGTATGTCCACTCGACATGTGACGAATTGTTTCAAATTATTGAGATGGTAAGGGTACTGTACAATTATGTAAATGAAAATTCTTGGCTGGTCTTTGGAATTTTGAGCAACATTTTTATGGACGTATGGAATTATTCTCATTTCTGATAATTTTTTTCATGATCTAAATAAAATCTAAATAAATATCTAATTGATTAATGACTGTAATGAATTAATTACATATTGTAAAAAGACATGAATTTTATGCATTTTAATTATTGTTTGAGTGATGAAATTTTGATTTTTGCAGGGATTTCTTTGGAAGGCAGAGGTTTAGAGAATAATATCAAAAGATTTTTTGTTTCGGCAATTAAATTCCTTACAAAAATGCTCGTGTGACACTGTTGTTTTACCTCACTAGTATTTGAGAGGTTGGCGAAAATAGTTACACAAAGTTTTCTCTGTTAACTAGTCGTTTAGGTTGTTAATAAGTAACTTCAAAGTTAAATGATAACGAATTTTTGTTAGCGAATATCATTTCCGAAATATACATTTTCCTCTGGACGCCGTAGCTTCCAAGATATTTTTGAAAATAACTACAAAGAATTCTTAGTAAAGCCTAATATTTTTGTTAATTTGTCTTTTATCTCGTTGATAAGCGACTAGGAAAATATGTCAAGAGAAATTTTTTCCCAAATAATCCCGTGACATTTCTTTCTAATCTCACTAGTTTCCGAGACATTCGAAAAACAATCTGAAGAAATTCTGTGAAATCACAATTTCACCACTAGATTACATTCTAATCACCTGAAAAAGTACTCATTTTGATCAAAACTGTTGATATTGCTTGACAAACATTAACTGGAATGTTGTACCTACAGTAGAAGACTTGTAAAGGCGCAAAGGGCCGGAATAATGTACATAAGGGAATAGATTATTGACCTAGATTGTCTATGGGTTTGTTATGAGAAGAGAAGATATATGAATTGTTGTTATACTCAACTGTTAATGAATTAATAAATTTTTTTTACAAACATTGTCGTTTGGCATCTTACATTCGAATTAGTAATTACTTTCTCGTATTTCAATTAATACTTCCATTTCTGTAATTTTTATTTTATTTAAACGCGAGCTGCAATGAGCTGTTACATATTTTTCTCGTTTATCACTAAATTTTTGTTATTAATTATTATTCTTAATTAATTACGAAAATTCAATTAACAAACCCAGTGTATTTGAGAGCAAGTGAGAACAGATAAATCTGAATATAAGAACTTGAATAGTTGGAGACAGGTAAGATATTTGAAAGTGCGGAAAAATTGGTGTGCTAACAATTGCATGCTCGTCATTTATTCCTTGATTTTCATCTGGTAATAATTTTTATTCATTAGTTCATCCTGGTCCATAATAGTTTACAAATAAGTCGAAAATATTGTGAAATGTATTGTATGAGTGATTTGATTCTTTTGCTATTTTATTCTGTAAAAATGAAAAGAATTCGATTGAAAATGTTATTTTCATATTTTTTGTTTGATTATAATTTAATTATTACTCGGTTAATTTTTTTTTGTTAACGCTGAAGTATGGTATGTGTGGCTAGGTAGAAAGTTTGTGTAGGGAAGTCGCCTCACTGCGCACCAATCTCCAGAATAAACAGCTACAGTTCGAAGAGTTCATGAGTAATCACAATCAATTGATGGTGCAACAGCAAAATGTAATCAAGGTAAGATAAATAAATTGGTTTGGATAATTTCGGGGTTGGTGAATTAATGTAAATGAGAGTTCTGAGAATTTTTAGAATAATGATTGGAGATTAATTTGAAGGGGTTTTGTTGTTCATGGCGATTTGGTTGGTTTTTTAGACGGATGAGAGTGCAATCAGCGAGGGCAGTTTACCAGAGTCCTGGGGAAGTTTCAATGACAGGAAGTCAGTAGATGCTATGAAGGAACTCGTCAATCATCATGTTTGTATATCAATTATTTGTTTAAAGATGTTTTTTTTTGTTTTGAAAATGACTCGTATGTTGAAGAGGAGTGGAATTGAGAAAGATGAATGAGAGATTGTGTAATTTGGCGATTGAATGATGGCGTTTGAGGGAAAATATCAGAAAACCGTCTTTGCACAAAATTTTCTAATCTACAAAAGAGGTTCTCTCTACCGACGTCGGTGGCCGAAGCGGCTAGGTGCGAGCCTAGTGTGCGAAAGGTTGTGAGTTCGATTCCCCGTGGAACCGAGTTTTTCAACCGGAGGCTCCGGCGAGCGGGAGGTCGCTAATATAGTGACCGCCTGTACCGGCATGGGTTTTCTGTGGTTTCCCATGCTACTCCTATGTTTTATAGGAGTGCGAATGCGGTGCAGTGTAGAATCCACAGCCGCATGCATAGGGTTGAATAGGGCCGATTAGCCAATCAGAAGGCAGAAAGGGCCGGAATATAGAAAAAAATAAAAAATAAAAAGAGGTTCTCTGATGATTACTCCTAAAATCAATCATCACCAAGGAAATTCAAAAATTAACCATGAACCTCTAAATTACCCCTCATTATTCTATAAATAATTCCAAAAATGCTTGTCTACTCTCAACAGAAAAAAGAACTAGCTGCCTTAGAGTCGGAACTCCAAAACAAAGTAAAATCCTTGAATGAACATCAATCTAGAGTGGAAAAAATGGAGGAGGAGTTATTAGATATGGCAGACAAACAGAAGCAAATGCTCAGTCTCGAGGTAAATATCTCGACAACAAATAAAAAACCTTTTGTTTGCAGTTGACTCCCGTTATAGTCGCACATCTGGGGCTGCAAGGAAAGCCGATTTGGCGAATACGACTATATTTCCCTATCCCCACCATGCGCCCAGCTTTTCGTAAATTTACTGTCAGAGTATATTACATTTACGATTTCCTTGAAAGGCGACATAGTCCATACGCAATACCCCCTTCCCGTGGTCACTAAGAGGTCGATGGAATTTTATTATTGGATTTTATGTTTTTGGGGGTGAGGAATCCGAATGTTATTTATTTTGTCCTCCCGTCGCGCAATCATTTGTTATAAACAAATTAGTCCCCATTTTTAGTGAATAAATGTTCTTCTGGGCAAACAAAGAGAGATACAGAAAAATTGTTCAAAAAAAAGTTATTCCTCTTTATTTCACCAATAAAATGATTTTTGACTCGTCGAAATCGATCCAATATTTCCCGAGATACAGGCTAAAGAGTGAGCGCGGGTGGATAGACTGTGCGGACGACGGGTGAATATGGGCGCGGAGCAGTGTATCTAAACGAATATCGTTTGTGTTTGCATACTGCATGAATTTTGATGAACTCCGTTTCTGGCCTTACCATCATTCCAACAAATTTTCCATCACGGAATTGCCTCCTACATCCAAATCGATCCGTCTTCATATTTTACGAGCATTTTTTATCACTCATGAACAAATTAACTGTCTTGATCCTATGAGAGAGAAATTGAATCCAGAATTATTTGGGTTTGATAATGTCGATGGCATTCTCAAGCCCAGTCGAGTAACTGAATTGATTCCTCCATCATTTGAACTAATTCTTCCTTGCACATGTAAAGAATGCTCACGGAATACTTGTGCTTGCTGAGCTAACCAGGTGTCATGTAATTCCTATTGTAACTGCACTTCGTCTCAAAAATGCCAAAATCCTATGAATGAAGGTGGAGGATAAATTAATGAATTTTCATGTAATTGACTCATTATTTATCATTTTCTCTTTTCAGATATCTTCATCTTCAATATGAAGGGGTCTTCTATTTATCCGATAACAGGAATTATACATTATCATTATAAGTTGCTGGCGACATTTTTACGTTGTTCTCTCGAAGCATGGAACGCGTTTTGTCCCTTACCCGACATGAAGAGTATGAGAGAAAATAGAAATAATCAACAGATTACAGATATTATTCCTTTCTGCAGTAATCTAACGCAATACAGAATGTACAAACCAACAATATTCACTCAGATACTCTGCTCCGCGCCCATACTTACCCGTCGTCCGCGCAGTCTATCCACCCGCGCTCACTCTTTAGCCTGTATCTCAGGAAGTATTGGACCGATTTCGACGAGCCACAAATCATTTTATTGGTGAAAGAAAGAGGAATAACTTTTGTTGAAACAATTTTTCTGTATCTCTCTTTGTTTTCCCGAAAGAACATTTATTCACTAAAAATGGGGACTAATTTGTTTATAACAAATGATTGCGCGGCGAGAGGACAAAATAAACAACTTATTCGGATTCCTCACCCCCAAAAAGATAAAATCCAATGATAAAATTCCATCGACCTCCTAGTGACCACGGGAAGGGGGTATTGCGTATGGACTAACACAATAGCGCAGCTAAGAAAACATTGATGTGTTTACATTCGGGGATCAAGAGTAGTAGGGAGTGGGAGAAATCTTCACGCTGGCGAATAAGCGATCAAGGAGAAATGTGACTATAACGGGAGTGACTACAGCGAGAGTCTACTGCACCCAATAAGAATCTCGGCAACAAATGTTCTCCAACCATTTTTTTGTAAAACGGTTCATTTAAATTTCGTTCTTCTTCAATATCTCAAAAACTACTCCACCGATTTCAATTTTTTTTTTCGCAATACTCGTCTGGATGGCCTTTATCTAGATCAACCAAAATATTTATACTCATTCATACAAAATTTTCGAGATATTTTCGTTTTTTCGGTTTTGTAATTTGTTCATTCTTCTACGCACGATAACTTGGGAAAAAATGAAGATAGCAAGTTGAAATTTGGTATGATTATAGCTCTTACAATACTGAAGATTGGTATTTTGGATAGACGTAACCGGCCGACCAGTTTCGGAGATATTTAACCTTTTGTATAAATCTATTCCATTAAAAGGTTGAATATTGTTCTGTAGACACTCTGTACCGTGTGGTTACGGTTGTATGCCCGTCACGAGCATCGGGAATCGCTACGGATCCATTACTACGGAATTGGTAGAAATAAAAAAAGACAAAGACTAATGACGTAAATAGTAAAGGTCTTGTGCATTAGATTTTATGAATTATAGTACTGTATCATTCCAAATAAAAAATTGAGTTTCGAAGGAAGAAAAATGAATCTACTGTATCTCTGTCAATTGATGAGATATAATGCTTGGTTATCACTCATTTTTCTTCTTTTTACTTAAATTTTTTTAAGATGAAAAATGAAAATAATTCCAAAAATTGTGAGACAATATTTCAGGTCGGTATTTGATGGAATCGGTCATATAGATTTTAATGCGTTAATTTGAGGAGGGGTATGACACGATCGCGATGCATCAAGGCACTTCTCGATACGGATACCTGAACCTCCTGGTATAACACACTTGGAGATAATTCCACGCATTGACACCTAACGATCACATGATCGTTGTATAATATGATTTAATTTTACTCATTCAATTTCTCGGTTAATTTCAAATCCAAAATTTTTCATAACATTTTCCCCAAATTTCATATATTTTCCTGGAATTTTCCACATTTATTTCAACTCCTTAGATGCTCTATTTCTCATCTACGAGAAAAGTGCCGCCAGGAGGCCTGATCACCCAAAACAGTGGCTTTACAGCTACCAAACTTCAACTTCCTATTTTAATTTTTCAGAGAATTATCGTGAACACAACAATTTCATCTCGAAAATGAAAAATTCCGATTATTATCACAGTCTCTAGTTACATAGCGATATTACAATTTAATTTGATGGATATTATCGCTAGGAATCTTTTGATGTAAAGAAATGAATTCAGTCACGAAGTTTTTGGGATATTGAGCAAAAAAGATTTTTGAGAGATTGTTGTAACTCAAAAACTGCTCGAAGTTTGAGCTGGCCCCCCAGCCGGGAATCGAACCCGGGTCTATCGTATGTCAATCCCACACTCTAACCACACAGCAACCGCCGTCGGTCCAAAATCATACCAATTATGTGATAAAATTTAAGATTTTTACCTTCAACTTTAGTCCTTTTTCTGTGAAGGTTTATAAAAATTTTCCGAAAAATCCACACACACCTATGGACACACATACACACATTTAGTAAAAAAACTGCAGATGGCTGAATTTTTAATAGTCGTAATTTTACGTGGATGCGTCTACGATCTTCCCTTTCCTTCACTAACAATCATAGTTTTTCATTGCATATATTTATTTATATAGTTATATGAGAACAAGTAGGAATTTCGATGTTTTTTATTATCACCATACGATTGAATATTTATATACAGCCAAATTCATGAAGAATAGAACCGACGACGGTGGCCGAAGTGGTTGAATCCCTGGGCCGGATGGTGGGACCCGTTGGTCAAGTTGGAATTTTTAATCTTTCGGAAACCGTTGAGCGGGAGTCTAGACATCCGAAATCATCGAGATCAAATGTTTGGGGAATATTCTCCAATGGTGTCCGGTCGATGGACGTCCATGTCGGCCAAGGTTTTCCATGGTTTCCCTCGTGACAAGGAGAGTCTGTACATGGAGTACCGCTCCTGGGGTACAATGCGACATGGTGGGGGAGAAAGTCGTGGGGGATGGGATGGGACCATAAAAAGCCTAATCGGCTATATGGGAATGAAAAGAAAAAGTCATGAAGAATAGAGGGAAGGAGGTCAAACTGTGTACGGAGGATATTGGGCCTAAAACGAAAATTTCAAATAAATCGAAGAAGTCGCAGCAGTTATGAGCGACCAGACGCAGTGGAGAGAGAATATTAAATGTTCATCAATTGCCATTAATGAACATTTAATTTATCCATTAGTTTTTTCAATTTTCGAATTTTTGCGAAATAGTCCGTACGCTGTACCTGATCCTGTGTCAATGTAAGAGTCCCCGCGTTTTGATGTATGACATTTATGTTTTTTAGGTCGCCGATTGCGAATTTGTGAATTTTTTTCCAAAAAATCCGGCGTTCTATTTGTTATTAACAATTTACGTTTTTAAACGATTATATATCACGGAAACGGTTACAGAACGGGAGAAAAGTTTCAAACAAAAGATGTTTAGCATGTCAAGACACACATTTTTTTTTTTATAACTTTTTTCCCTAACTATGATAGAGAAAGAGTCATCGGGGGTGGGAGCAAAGCGGGCGGTGCATTAGCCCTTGCGCGAGTAGCGGGTGTCGGCGGTAAGCACGTGGACCCCTCGCGCTCTCATTTAACGGACTATATCTCTGTCAGAAATGGAGATAGGCCAAAAAGACACAAAAACTAATCTATCTATTTTTTAAAGGGGAACAATTTTCATGCAAATTTTTTTCTCGCATCTCGAACTGCTTATGCGCGAAGCTATCATAAACAATAACATGCTAGGCAATTTACTCCATCATAGAGCGTAAAAGTGTTAATATCTTATTAATGGTAGGAGTATGAAAAAAATTCAAAAAACTAAAGATGCGTAAAATTTGATGGCGAACATTTTTCATCTTAATGATTTTTTTCTATCTCTATTGCTTTTGTCGATAAACGCATCGGAGCGCGCCGATGCCTTGTGTCGATGTTGACGCGCCACCCGCCTTGCTCCCACTCCCGATAACTCTTTATCATAGTTAGGGAAAAAAGTTATATAACAAAAAATGTGTGTCTTGACATGTTAAACATCTTTTGTTTGAAACTTTTTTCCCGTTCTGTAACTGTTTCCGTGATATATTTTTTTTATCGTTATTTCACATCGCTTCGACCTGGTTAGGAGGGTATACTGCGATGATGATCAA